AAAACTTGGCAAACAAACTTCTAGTGAAGATGCTTGGCTATTGTATTGATTCGTCATGAGAGTACAACCAATTTCATGTTGTCTAGTCCTGAGTGCAGACCGAATTCTATCGATCATATTTGCAATGTGGCGACCAAGCTAGGAAGCTCAACATCCCGGTGCGGTGCACATTAGTTGATGTTAGTTGGTTGGAGGCAATCAGCAGGGCTTCCTGCCAACTAACATGTTTGACTATTGTTTCTTTGATACTAGGTGACAACTAAATATGAAATGAAAGTCTGGGAGCCACATGAATCGAATCAACGACCACTGGGTCTTGATTGGACAACCAGTGACAGTACGATCAAGCTGTAGTAACATATGATGAATTCATATGGTGTTTGGGCAGAACCCTTGATGACTGGAGCAAAGCAAAAATCTTATCAGCAAGCGGATTTCGTAGCTTAGTTAATGAAACACCGGATCAGAACCCCAATGATTGGGGGTTCGAACCCTATCGTGGTCCACATTTCCATTTCACCTCCAATCATCATCTAGTATCAATATAAGTTTGCCAAATTACGTGAATCTCAGCTAGTCAAACTGATTTTCTTTTTTAAGATTTTGATACTGATCAATTCGGAAATGAAACTTATTTATCAAATGATGCGTTAAAAAGTGGGATGAATATGAGTTTTGAACTTCAACACCACCTGCTACAGAATACGTTGTGTGAATAAGTATACACCTAAATGAATTCCGGTTATTGTTTTGAATGCCTGTCGGTGTCACTGTGGGCTATTAAATGGCTGACAAGAATTGGTCAGTGATAAATTCATTGTTTTGTATCTGTTGTATGTAGGAAAAGTTTCTTAATTTCATAGTTTTCACTTATTCGGGGAGTTGGAACAACTTTAGTGGGTGGTTGCTGACGAAATCTCATCTGAGATACAGAAAGCCTGGTTAGCACTTGCTAACTTGCTTGATTCCTGTCATCAGCTGGCAAGATATCAAACTATCCATCAAAAGATGAGTATACTATGCTGCAGTCCGTCCCGTCCTACTATACGACTGTGACAGATGGTCATTAAAAGTAGAAGACATAAAGCAGCCACGGGGATTTGATTATAAGTGTCTCTTCGTAGGATTGGTCACGCATTGGTGACTCAACATGTACAATGTTGTGGTCAGGCGAATAATAATAGGCAAAACAGGCAAGTCGACTGATGAGGTTGTGAACCTTCATTGGCTGAGGCAGCTTGGACGTATGTCTCGCATGTTAAGCTTCCGCCTACCTGGATTAGGTTGAAATAGGGTTAAGTATGGCCAGACTAATACATAGTACCAGGCGATCAAGTTTCTGACTTAGTTTTAGCCATATGAGGAGATATACACTACCTAGGTGTAGTTTCCGACATAACACGAATAACTGGTTGAGGACTCTTTGCGATTGAAAATCAGTTGAAATGGCCTAGATTTATTTATTCCTTGACCCCTTCTAAAGCTTGAATATTTTCACTAACCACTATCTTCAGACTGCTTATCCTCTCACACAACTTTTTTTAATTTCCATATTATGATTTATAATACACAGTCAGTGATCTAGTATTATTTACTTGATGATGACGTTTCAAGCATAAATTATCATTGCTCATAATCATATCAGTGTAATTCCATCTGACTTTTATATTCCTGTCACCTCATATCCTATGTTCGGGGCTATTCGAACTGACCCCAACCAACCAGATTGAAACACACTTGTTTGAAACACGTAAAAGAAGCGCTAATAGTTAATAATTATCCTCCACAGTTTATTAAGAAATCCTTACCGACACAGAGAAAACGAAAAAATGACAGTCACACGAGTTCGACTAATAACGAGAACACTAGTAGAAAGGAGTTCACGGTCTACTTTGTGTTACTTTGTAAGGAAGGTACATCAGAAACTTTACATAGGATGCTCAACAAAGCTGGAATTAGGGTGGCATTTAAACCGTACAAACTCACTGAGAGATGAACTTTGTTGGCTAGCTTAAGGATCCGATGGAACTAATTAAGCAAAATAATCTAATCTATCAACTTCCATGTAATGACTGTGAGGTCAAGTGAATAGGTCAAATTAGTCGGTCGGGTCAGTTAGAATAGATGAACATAGGGATTTAGCTAAATATAGAATGACAGACCTAAATAAGACGAATAATCTAGAGAACACTGGACCATCGCAATGCATGTGTAATAGAAATGACGCAACACCCATGCTAGAGATATGAAAATTTTACTACCAATATAAACGGAAGTGATCGGTGATAGGAATATAAAAGTCAGATGGGACTACACTGATGTGAATTATGAGCAATGATAATTTATGCTTGAAACTTCATCATCAAGTAAATAATACTGGATCACTGACTGTGTGTTATAAATCGAATAAACAAATCTAATATGGAATTGTTATTCTACCATAGTGCGCAAGGTTTACACGTATATTTGTCTACTTTCATATTAATCTTTTTCTATCGACCTGTGAAGTGTGGCAACTTGCACAGATTCATTTGTTTTCGAGGTTCTACATTGATTTTGTCTGTGTCTCTCTGATAAAATTTTTGGTGAGGAGGAAATTTCTCCTCCAATCTAATCTTCTTCGAGTGCTACAATCGGAAAATTTAAAGTCTTCAATCCTGTTGTCACTATTCATTGAAGAGGTTGTTATTGATATTCAGATTTCTTGGGTGCTCATTGTTTGATTACCTCATATACGTTGATCAAAGTAAACGGTGTCAATATTCACTTATGTTATTGTTAGGAGAGATTAGTGGGGATCGATGTAATTGAAACTCTGATTATTTTATTTTCTTATCATTGAGGTTGTCAATGTTTTGTTTGCGGTGAATTATGTCGGTTAACAGGACTATTGTCTAGACATCAATTTTTCTCCAGGTTAATTGAAGAAATTTCATGGTAAGCCGAAGAAATTAAGAAGCTTGCAAAATGTACAGTTGAGAAGGAGAATGATATGATTAGGAGAATTCCATCATAGTAGTTACTTGCATAGAATAAAAAGCTTTGTCAATATTCCTTTTCTCCATTTGATCTATGCGCTTCACTATAGATAGATATGATTGCTGCATTCATTTATCTATTCTTTTGGGTTATTTGTGACTCAACTATCAATCTGGATGACATCCTACACGAGTTCAACAATTATCATTCATTATTAGAATTCACTATACTGAGAGAATTAGAATCAGCTATTCCTTTCTTTGACATACTGATTACAAGATGTAGCAATGGAATGCTGAAAAGATCCATTTACGGGAAACCCATATGGAACGAACAGCTTACTCATTTCTATAGTAAGGTGGCGATCCGATTATAAGGAAAAGAAACTTCATTCACTCACTGTGCTATCGAATATGTGATATTTGTACAAGTTGAACTTAATTTTCATAAGATGGACACTTGTGGAAAATGGCTATCTTAGTCAATTTGTTGATAAGAATGTACAAGGTGATGCAGCATCAGATATCCTGAGAAATCGACTTTCTGGATCAATTAGTAGGACTTTTTTCTCAGCCAAACTTCATTTATTCTTTTGTTCACTTATTCCCTGTGATCCTTTCAACTCATTTGTATTATCTTAGTTTATTGTCTTCCTCCGAGTTGCTTCAAAGTACTACCTTTATAAGAATGGATACTGGGATGTTGTAAAATAAACATTCTGTAGAAGAAAAGTGCCATTGAATCAGTCATTCAAACAATCCTCTTCAACCTTTTTGAATTGTATAACTCCAAACAGAAAAACTGTTGTAACACCAAATAAAGTGGTACAGTTTGGATCATCAACTTGAAATGATAACTGCAAAATATAACTAACAATCTTGAATAATTCCAACTTTTTGGTCACTTCACTATCTAAAATATCACTGGCTTGGCTACGCTATACTCTACGTATGAAACATAAGCTGATCTAAACGCAAGGCAAGACACCATTTAACCCTACAAAAGGATATAGGTGATTGCTGTAACCAGTAACGCGATCTAGAAGTCTACAAGCAATTGGAACCTAACGTGCAAAAGACCATACTCTAATAGCTAATTTGGATGTAATCTACCACAACAGCAATACTGTCAACCACCATCACAGCGATATCACCGGCATACGAAGACAAGAAGAGAAGATGGACCGCTAACAGAAAGTTTTTACTGTCTCAATAACAGTCAAAACTAGTTGAGGGCGATGATGAATATATACATTCTAAACGACCTTGATATCACTAGGATCACTGATAAGTCAAAAGAGTTAACAACCAATGAGAATTCAGCCTTCAGAAGTAGTGGAAAAAACATGACCTAACAGTGGCGCCAAGGGGGTCTCAAAAATAGCGATAATAAACCTGTTTTAATGTTAAAGCGAACCGTTAGGTGTATATAACAGTAATTTACAGTTAAGTGAGCATTACTCTTCAAGAGAAAACTCCATGAAACAATGATTAAGTTTTCCTAAGTAACTCATAATGGGATCAATTTTCGTTGTTCGATACTTTAAATCCTGAGATCTTACACAGGGTAGAATTTCTCGAACCAGGTTTGAAAATTGACTTTTACGAAAATATCCCGTTATTGCCTGAATATTCATTATGCTGTATATGACTTGGTAGGGGCTAGCACTGGAATCCAGTCATTACATGTGGTACACCTTGCAGTAACCCAGTCATTTGCAAATGTGCTTCGTTTCTTCTTCTTTTCCTCTCTCGATTTGCTCTTGATCTGCTCTTCATGCATTCTTATTATCAGCATCCACTGTAATATCTCTTGCGTTGCTCTTGGCAGAAACTTTACCCTATGATTCTCGACACCGTCTCAATATATACTACTTATATCCATTGTTGTCAGCAACGCCCAGTACACTAGAACTTATCACTTTAAACGTTAAAGCATTATCCACTAATAATTTTCTTTTTCATAAAAGATAAGATTTTACCGTCATCATTCTAAACATTTTGTCTATATTATTTGAACAGATCGATTGACTAATACACGAACACTTCAGCCTCATCAACTAACTACACATGTAAACCAGTCCACCTGTTTAAATCAATCAGTTAATCAGAGTGATTTAGATAAATCAAGCCAACTACCAACTGTTGAAAATGATACTAAATCTGATTTGCTCAGTAATGAGAAAGGAAGTAAGTTACTTTTTGGATATTTCTTTATACTTTATTATTAAACAATAGTATGTTTTTACAATGTACAGTGTTGGAATGAAGGCAGACAATATGATAAAGATTTTTTCAATCATTGAATTACTCATCAAAACGATTAAATTAATTACTACCCGTCAACAGCAAATATATTGTTTGTACTGGGTGATGATTGAAGGTGAGATGAAAATGTGGACCACGGCCGGATTCAAACCAGCAACCACCGGGTTACCGGCCTGGTGCTCTACCAACTGAGCTACAAGGTTCGACTACTGACCACCAGATTTTTATTTCACTTCAATCACTACGGGTTTTTCCAACTACCATGTGAATCTGTGACGCGTTATCACCGCTTGATCGTATTCACACTGGCTGCCTAATCAGGACTTCTCATCCCAATCCAAATCTAACTGAACCAGAGAGGGAGTGCATCGTATTGATTATGAGTTGACTATCTAAGATAGCTGCAGTTTGGCAGACTATTATTTGTACTGGATGATGATTGAAGGTGAGATGAAAATCTGGACCGTGGCCAGACTCGAACCAGCTCAGTTGGTAAAGCACAGGGTCGGTAACCCCGCAGTCGCTGGTTCGAGTCCGGCCGCGGTCCAGATTTTCATCTCATCATCCAGTATAAATAATAGTCTGCCAAACTACGGCTATCTTAGATAGTCAAATCATAAAATATACTGTGTTTACAGGTTACTTTAATACTCAATACACAAGATTCTTGCCTTAGTTCGTACATTTACAGATAGAAAATTCACTTCTAAACTCTACATTTTTACAGTAAAAGCCAATGCTTTTGGTAAAACAGTTTTAGGTGGAATGAGAAAGTTGTTTAACGAAGATAAAAGATATAATGAATAGTATTTATTTAAAAAGTGAAATATGTAATCTAAGTCATATTTACTTAATGATACTGGATGATGACTGAAGGTGAAATATTAATTAGTCTGGGACATGACTGGGGTAGAACCAGACCAAGTCATGATCTTCTAGTATCAATACAAGTTTGGGCAACTTTGGTTATCTCAGATAGCCAAACTGATAATCAGTATGATGCTTCACCTTTCTAATTCAAGAGATGATAAAAAGCCTTGACTGGATAACCAGTATGAGTACGATCAAGTCGAAAGCCAGTGATTGCTGGTTAGAATCCTGTCATGACCTAGACTACCATTTCACCTTCCATCATTACCCAGTATCAGTGATAAAAGTCTACCAAACCATAGCTATCTCAAATAGTCAAAAACTGATATTTGCATATATTCGAAAAGAAACCGTGGCCTGTCGGACAAGATTGTAAGCCTTCACTCAATTAGTCACGAGTTCTTAGTGTACTTCACCTGCCGAGGTTGACATAGCTAGGTATTATCATCAGCCATCACATTACATGTGTAACTTACTGCCCATTGTATTAAAATGCACCTGATTACTTAGATAGTGAGATAGATATGGGGATAAAAACCAGATTAGAACAGCCTGAGGTAGACGTCTGGTGACTGCCTTTAAGAAATTAATGAATGGGGCACCAACTCTTAACTTTTTCAGTAGTAGGTGTGAAAAAAAGTGTTGGATACTTTAGGACAGTTTTCTCTTCCGTTTCTTTTTTTGTTGCGAGGTCTCATATCGAACAACGAAATGCTAAAAATCACCTGATACTTGGGGTTGGTATGAGCTCCCTGAAGGTTTGAATAGAGTAAATATTTAGGCTTCTTGTTCCGATGAATAACTTCTTCCTATCTATCCACCCTACGACTGCGTCTTAATACTTGTCAGCAGAACGTATTCACACCTTCTGAGATACACAATAGTAGGGTTCAGTTGTGTGATCAGCAACCTTATATCTTAGATTCTCGAGTTGGTAGTGACGTCATGCGAAGTTAGGTTACAGCTCCGTAATTGCCACCAATTTGTGAAAGGAAATTATTTGTACAGGAAGTAAAATATAACCCAACCTCGCCTAGGTAACTAGTTCACTAGTTTTACTAGCCGGTCCTAATCCCGGATAAAGAGGGAAGGTTAAACATAGGGCTAGCAACCCTACCCCGTAAAACCAATCCAGCCGCAAAAGAAAATTCAAAGGACAAACAAAATATAAAAAACATAAAAACAAACTTATTCCTCGCTGGAATCGGGGAGACAAAATGACACCGGTTGGTGAAAGCCTTCGGGAAATCAGTTGGCCGATGTGTCTTCTATCTCTCGATGAAAGCAAAAGTAAGCATAGGAACATGGAATATCCGTACTACATATGAACCTACCAAGGCTGCTTAGCTTGCAAAAGCGATGACAAAGGATGACATAAAAGTGCAAGGAATCTGCGAGGAATCAGCAGATGAAATGGAAGTGGACTCTACAAACTGTCAACTGGAGAGTTAGTAATCTACTCCGATATTGTCACCAAGACGACAACCACGAACACACTGAGTTTTGGAGTGGCTATCATGATGTCCTCAACAACATTGTAGGCTGTCATGCAGTGGGAACCAATCTCCTCATCCACGATCATGACAGCAAGATTCAACTCAAAAGGAAGGAAAGCCACAGTCATTCATTGCTACGCTATGCCCCTACAAATAATGCAGATGGAAGAAGAAGGAGGAATTTTGTAAACAACTGCAATCGGTAATGGACAAGACCCCAGCCTAGATGGCGACATCAAAATTCTAGTAGGTGGGGTGACATGAATGTCAAGCTGGGAGCAGACAACACAGGGAGAGAACTAACCATGGGTCGAGAAGCTCTCGGTGAAAAGAACGAGAATGGAGAACTGTTTGCAGACTTCGGCGAATTCAACGATTTGGTGATTGGAGGTACTCTGTTCAAGCACAAGGATATCCACAAAGCGACATGGATTTCACCAGATGGACACACTAAAAATCAAATCGACTTCATCTCAATCTCAAGAAAATGGAGACGCAGTCTACTTGACACAAGGTCAAGAAGAGGAGCAGATGAAGGTTCAGACCAATATTTTGTGCAAGGAACCTTCCAAATCAAGTTGAAAGCCTTCAAAGAAGTTGGTGATAGACCGCAGTTCAAGTACAACACTCGAAACTGAAGGACGAAACTACGAAGGAAATCTTCACGTCAGTCATCGAGACAAAATGGGAGATATCGAAGAACATTCCTGAAGGGACCTGCGTGAAAGAACACTGGAACTCCTTGAAAGAGATAAGGAAAGGAACTGTATAACCGTGTTAGGGGGGAAGAAGAAAGAAGACGATAAGTGGAATGGATCTCGACGGATACATGTAAGCTGATAGAGGAGAGAGAGGAGGATGGTGAAGCAGAAGATAAACCATTGCAAGGATGAACGATGAAAGAGGAACTGAACACAACCCAATAAAACACTACACTGGACAAAGAAGTGAGGAAGAGTGCACGAAAAGACAAAAGATACTTCTACGATACACCGGCAAGTGAAGCAGAAAGGGCTGCTGCAGGTAGGAGAGACCCTCAACACCATATCAAATAACCAGGTTCCTATCCGTAAAGAGATCAATGCAGATGAGACCAATGAAAGATAATGAACGAATGCTAGTTAACAAAGTGGCAAGACAGAAGAAACAATGGGCTGAACACGTCAAATAGCTCTTGAACCGACCACCACCTGCAACTCGTCCAGAAATTCCACCACCAGGGCCGCCACAGAATTATCAGTGAACACAAGCCCTCCGACAAAATCCGAAGCCCTGAACGCCATCAACTTGACGAAATTCGGGAAAGCAGGAGGAACAGATGGAGTCCCGCTGAAAGCACTGAAAGCAGAGGCAGAGACAACAGCGGACACGCTCACACCATTACTGCAAGGGTTTGGAAGGAAGGAAAGGTACCTGTAGATTGGAAGAAGAGCTACCTGGTCAAACTTCCAAAGAGGGGAGACCTACGTCTTTGCATGAATTGGTGAGGAATCATGCTCCTGTCCACCCCAAGCAAAATATTATGCCGCATCATGTGGAGAGACTAAAAAGTGCGCTGCGTTCAATATTACGACCGGGACAGGCTGGCTGGCTGGGTGGCTTCAGAAGAACAAATCATGTACGGATCAAACTGCAACGCTACACTACGCATCATCAAAGAACAGAGCATAGAATGGCAGTCAACTCTCTATCTTACCTCAGCTTCATCGATTTTGAAAAGGCCTTCGACAGCGTCGACCGAGAAATAATTTGGCAGGCAGCTGCTTCAACACTGCGGAGTACCACAAACCTTCATCAACATCATTCAACAGCTATATGAGGACGCCACATGTCAAAAGATTCACAATGGGAAAGTTCAGTGACGCCTTTGTAGTGAAGACAGGAGTAAGACAAGACTGCCCTCTTTTATCACCAATGATCTTCCTGATTGTGATGGACTGGATCATGCAAGAAACCATGAGAGCGAGAAGACGGGCATACGCTGGCTGGACCGATGAGAAGACCCCAGGAGAAGATTTGGGTTTCACCGCCGATGATGATTTATGTCTAATGTCGCACGAGCTTCAAGATCTTTAAGCAAAAACCAACAAGTTAACAGAAGAGGCGAGTTGAGGTAGCGAAGATGGGACTTCCTTCAGGTGAACGTATAGAAGACAGAGGTGATGAAGATACCTAGCAACAACAACGAGCACCAATCCCCACCAACAGGAGAAACCTAAAGGAAGTAGTCTCTTTCACCTACTACCTAGGCATCATCGTTTCAACTACAGGTGGCACAGACGAGGATGTCAAAACCAGGATCAAAAAAGCAAGACAGACCTTCATCAATCTGAAACCAGTGTGGAGATCTTCTGCACTGAGCAAGTGAAACAAGATCCGGATTTCCAACACCAATATCAAGTCAGTGCTTCTATATATTCGAGAAACTTAGTGCGTTATGGAAGGGATTTCCAATAAACTACAGACATTCATCAACAGTTGCCTACGCTCACTCGATACTGAAGATCGGATGGTCAGAAAGAATGAGCAACAAGGAATTCTGGTAACGAGCCAGCAAAGCAAGAACCTATCACCCAACAAATATGCCGAAAAAGAAAGTCGAGGTGGATTGGCCATACACTGAGGAAACCATTTGGGGACATCATGCACCAGACCCTTGTGTGGAATCCAAAGGCGAAACAACGAGTTGGGCGTCCGAAGCAAGGGTGACATGGAGGAGATCATGTGAGGAAGAAATGAGAGCTTGTGGGCAGTTGTGGAGCCAGGTTGAAAGAATGGAGATGTGCTACTGAAGCCCTATGTTCCACTAGGAACCCAAGAGACAAGTGATAATAATATAATAAAATATAACTCAAAAGCGATGACAAGGTAAAAGTAATAGTGGAGTATTAAAGATTAGAATTTGAGAGACAATATAAGTTTCTGTGCAAGTGAAAATTCGCTCGTGTTATTCATGGTACTAACAAGCATTAATTTTCGATAGAGAACCTTATAATGTTTACTTTTATTCAGTTAACAATACTTCTAGTTTGATGGGGATAGAGTTTGTAGCGATAAGATTGACTTGAGGACAGCTTCAATTATTGGATACCCACAAAACGTCATGTGGTGCTGGATAGAAATGTCATCCTAATCAAAAACTTCTCAGCATTGAATACTTTTAGCGTAATAGAGAACTAAGGCAAAAAATCCTCAGGTTTTGAAGATGTAATTAAGTCACAGGTTGGAATCAAATGGTTAGCACCTTCGAACTCAGCTAATTTACTAACATGCAATAAACATCATTATCATGGAACTTGGAGTACAATAAAGTCGATTACCATATGGGTTGGTCAGTTAGTTCGACAATATTGACTTGAAACCTGGTAAACTGTATAGCCGTCAAAGTTGCCACACTTCACATAAATACATCAATATACAAAGTATTGAAGTGAAATACAGAGATATGGAGAGGAATGTTCTAAATTTCATGGAAAGCCATATGAAGTCCATTCATCCATATCAACATAGGACTAAGCATTACGGCGTAACGGTTTGAGTTGCTACAGCTCATATTAGTACATCAAGTAAAAAGACAGTGAGGTGCAAGACAAAGATAATAAAATTCAATCAGAAGAAATATGAAGTATTAAGAGAGAGAAAAAAAGAATGAGAAAGTGGTGAGATTCGGCATAGCGTTGAGATGAGGATAATGTGTATATACATCTCAGCCATATCATCTAGAGTCTCCAACTACTGGTTTATCTTATCCCGCGGACCCAAACTGACTAGTCTACATCGCTCCATATGGCTCAAACCAACAGTCAAAGACCTCATACAATGATGCCATGTTTTAGTCTGGTAGCCTGGGGCCTTTTTCTAGCCTGAACCTACTTTGGCCAACATTGTGCAATGAGGTAGATGGTGACTAGGCATATTTAACACGTGTTCCGATCATCTCGGTCGATGAATAGAAGAAGACGGAGAAAAGAAATTAACGAAATATCACATGATAATCAGGAGGAAAACACTCTATGGATTTATCAGCATCAATTTCTGAGTAATCATTTTGTTTCTTAAATTCAGTTTTGAGGTTTGCAGAGATTTATTGACTTCAGGTCGGCATCGACCATAAACTGACATCAGTTAGAGAAACACTGGGGAAAGGGTAGCACCGGACAGTTGTTTCGTCCTTGTATGGGACTCTGTAGCAGTGCGCACCCATGACCCCGCGCAGGATCGAACTTAGGATCTTCGGACTCCATGGCCAGCACGTTACCACTGAGCCAATGGGTTACAATCGATATAGCATGACTTTCATCCAATGCCATCGACTGTCCTCATTTTTGACTTGGTTGGCCACAGTGGATATGACTTCTCAGTGGAACTTCAGGAATCAATTCTAAGGTTTATGAAAATTTTCTTAAATATCTGTTTTTGTTTTATTTATTATAGGTTTAATCAAAAATTATGGCAAGATGAAGTGAATCAATTAAAGTATCAATTAGCTGAAAGAGAATCGAAATTAACTGATGTCCAACTAGAAGCATTAGCTAGTGCTCATCAAGTTGATCAATTACGTGATGAAATGTCACGTTTATACTCTGAATTAAAATATTTACGTACTGATAATGAACGATTACAGATACTTGTATCACATTTACAAGATAGTCAAAAAATTCAACTACCTACTACTTCTACTACTATTATTATTACTAGTAGTAATACAAGTATCAATAATATTCATTTATACAGTACAAGATGTAATTCTTTACCACAGACAACATTTTCAAAGACTATAAGACATGATTCAATCAGATCATCAGAAATAGACAATACATTTTCAAATGATACCATATCAAATGATAGACAATCATATGTTATCAAATTAAAAGCTGGTGAACGTAACTGGACTTCAGGTGAGTATTTGGCACTGTTGTTTTTATTCAGTGATAGACTTTTAACTACACTGTTGTGACCGATTGGGGTTGCGTGCGTGAGTATAATGAATACTGAGACTCAATAGACACTTCAACTGAATACCTTTACGACTGACCTCCCTCAGTACCTCCTGCTTCACTGAGCCGTGAAGAAATCATAACACAACCTGTGATTGCAAGAACAACGACGACTTTTATTAGGCAAATACATGACACATATGTATTGATAAAACTGTCAGAAAGTGAAGCCATAAGTGAACCAATCCAATTTGTTGTATGAGGTTGAAGTTCTCCAATCAGGTTCTGATGTCAGCGCAAGCATAAATCATGACTTGAAGACAACTCTCCTACTGGCTGCTTTTTTATCGCTACCTCTCATATACTTACACTAGCTATTCTAAACCTTAGTATATAGAAGAGAACTTGAAGTGATGACTTAAAAATTATTTTTAGATTCATTTTATTGATAAATAGTGGTGATTTAAACAACATCACTGTTACATGTTAGTAATCAATTTGCTTGACCATTCAATATTGGTATATGCGATTTAGACATCAGTTTGATTATTGAACTGCTTAAGCTGCTTGACTAAACCTTCGAAAGGGAGAGGCATAACACATACACATTTATGGTAGTTAACTTGTAAATTCGATTGAAAGGCTTCTATCAGTGGTCAGGACATAGAACTGGACAGGTCCAATGGTTACCATCCGGTGACCAACACTTGTACATAACCCAGTCGTGCGGAGAAGTTGCTTATAACCTGAATGTCTTAGTTGTAAAGGTTTGTGAACATGAGTTTTTGCGGTTGTAGTGACGTCTTGATAATGCATATTAATCAACATGAATTTGATATAGAAGAGGATTTTCTACGGACTGAAACTTAACAGGTTATATGAAAAGTATAGTAGGACTTTGAAAATTTACGGCAAAATAAAAAGTCAGTATATATGTATTGTTTTAGCTAATAGATACGCTGGACCGGGTAAAAGAACCTAGAAGGTTTGGATTTCGCCGATGAATTGTGTCTAATGTCACACAAACTTGAAGATCTACAGGCGAAAACTGACAAGTTGACAGAAGAAGTAGGGCAGCGAAGACGGGACTTCCCTCAGGTGGACGTAGACAAGACAGAGGTGATGAAGATATCCAACCAACAACAACAACAAGCTCCAGTCACCATCAAGGGGAGAAACATGGAGGAAGTAGCCTCTTTCACGTATCTAGGCAGCACTGTTCCAACTACAGGCAGCATAGATAAGGACGTCACAGCAGCCAGGATCAGAAAGATAGCAAGACAGGCCTTCATTAACGTGAAAGCAGTGTGGAGATCTTCTGCACTCAGCATAAAGCGTGAACAAGATGCGGATTTTCAACACCAGTGTCAAATCAGTGCTGCTGTATGGTTCAGAGACTTGGCGCGTTACGGAAAGGATTCTCAACAAACTGGAGACATTCATCAACAACTGCCTACACTGGCTCGTTACTGAAGCTCAGATGACCAGAATAATAAGAATCAGCAACAAGAAACTCTGGGAACGAACCAACCAAGAAGCTACCGCTCAACAAATATGCAGAAGCGAGTGGAGATGGATTGGGCATACACTGAGAAGGCTGACTGGGTACATCACAAACCAGGCCAGTTGCTCGAGTGGAACCCAGATGGGAAACGACGAGTTAGGCGTCGGTGCAGAGTGTGAAATGGAGGAGATCGTGTGAGGAAGAAATGAGAGATTGTGGGCTGTCGTGGAACCAGGTTCAAAAGTTTGCAGAGAAGAGAGTGGAATGGAGATGTGCTACTGAAGCCCTATGTTCCACTAGGAACCCAAGGGACAAATAATAATAATAATAATAATAATAATAGGTTGTATTTAAGTTAGAGTATTTTTGGAATAAATTAATGATTCCAACGTTATACATGGATGCCTGTCTCTTGAAGAAGTCTTAATCTGGATATCTTTGAAAGTTAGACGGTTATCCACGTTGCTTTAAGGGTTTTTTTTCGGAGCATTTTTAGCTCTTGTCGAACAGACCTTCCATTTGAAGTGCTGTGTACAGAAGCTCTAAGTTTCCGATGTGAACTAACTTCTGGTAATTCTGTTTAATCATCCCAGAGTCTTAACTACTCTTTCCAACTTTATACTTTCCCAGATTTTTGTTCATTGAAATTTTTCGCTGTATATCTTGAGGGCTCTTTGTGGTATGGCTAAAATTTAGTCACATTGGCACAGATGTTCACAGCCTTCAAAGTCTTGAATATCTCCAGTGAACTTCATTAATTCTCCTTCCTCTCATACACTTTGATGAAGCAATTTCATTCACTGTGTGTCTATCTTTTGACGGCATACCACTGTGAAGTGAGGTGACGTGAACTCGTACACTTTTGTACCACGTTCTACTCTGGTGTATCATCTTTCTGGCCTTGCATCGCCTCTGCTAGGACTAGATGTTCTGTGCAACTCTATACTCACATGAACTAAGAGAAAAAGCTCAACCGCATTTCGTTCTATTTGGGACTTGCCAGTTGGACATACCTGCCTCCTAGTGAGTGATATTGTTCCCACCAGGATCCGAACTTGGGACCGATCGCTTCAAACGGTAGACCATGGAGCCAAGATAGACACTTCTTGTGTGATGCGTATATTTTTAGTACTATTGCTTGTAATATACCGTCGTTGACTGCATCGAATTGATCGATCTGTACTTGCATATAGGCTCCTGCACGGATGGCTCAATATTGGGTGGATTCCACTGCTAGCCACTACCCATCATTACTATGTTAAACGTGGTTTGAACAAAATATGCATTGATATAAGTGAAAAACTTGGGCACTGTGGTAGAATGTAATTCCATATTAGATTTGTTTATTTGATATAAAGCGCACAGTGATACAGTATTATTTAATTGATTACGTTTCGAGCATAAATTATTACTCCTCATAATCATATCAATGTAATCACACTTCTTTCGACATCTGATTTTATAGTCCTGTCACCTGATCTCTCTTTGTTTTTTTATTGGTAGTAAAGTTTTCCATATCTCTGGTATAGGTGTTGCGTCATTCCTATTACATGTGTTGGGTGTGGATTCGATGAACAAAGATTCAGTAATTAATCTCTCTCTCCACCTAGCTATATTAGACTTAAGTACAGTGGTTTTGTCCCACCCTATTGTGTGGTTGTGTGTTAATGAATGTAATGCAATGGCTGAGTGTTTTTTAGATTATTGATCTTATTGGGGTCTGCCGTTCTATGTTTAGCTAAATTCCTATGTTCTGTTAATCTAACTGACCCCGACCGGCTAGTTTGACCTATGTATTTGACCTCACAGTCATTACATGGAATTTGGTAGATTATATTATTTTGCTTAATTGGTTCTATCGGATCTTTTAGCCGACAAAGCTTACCTCTAAGTGAGTTTGTTGGTTTAAATGCCACCCTAATTCCAACCTTGTTGAGAATCCTACGTATGGTTTCTGATGTTCCTTCCTTGTATGGTATCACAATAGAGGTGTTGATTTCCTTTCTACTTATGTTGTCACTATTATTTGTATTTGTATTAGTGTTATTATTTTGCTTCTTATGTGTCCGTGTGAATTTCTTAATAAAATGATGGGGATAATTATTAATTATTAACGCTTCTTTTATGTGTTTCAATTCCTTATTTAAGTCCTTACAATGACTAGTGAGTTTCTCAGCTCTGTTATTTAGACATTTGACTAAACCCGCTTTAACTGACACTGGATGAGATGACTTGAAGTCTAGATACCTGTTAGAATGTGTTGGTTTTCTGTAGACGGTAGTATCTAAACCACCATCTATCCTTCGTTTTATTCTGCAATCCAACATAGGTAATTCTCCTTGTTCATTTTCTACTTCGTAAGTGAATTGGATTGCGTTAACTACTGAGTTTATGTGTGTCAAGAAACTGTCGATATGTTCCGATTTCAACACTGTAAATGTGTCATCCACATATCGCCACCATATCTTAGGTGTCGGATTATATGTTCGTAAAGCCATATCTTCCCAACTATCCATAAATATATCTGCTACTACTAGAAAAACACTCGGCCATTGCATTACATTCATTAACACACAACCACTGTACTTAAGTCTAATATAACTAGGTGGAGAGAGAGATCAATTAGTGAATCTTTGTTCATCGAATCCACACCCAACACATGTAATAGGAATGACGCAACATCTATACCAGAGATATGGAAAACTTTACTACCAATCAAAAAACAAACAAGAGAGATCAGGTGACAGGACTATAAAATCAGATATCGAAAGAAGTGTGATTACATTGATATGATAATGAGGAGTAATAATTTATGCTCGAAACGTAATCAAGTAAATAATACTGTATCACTGTGCGCTTTATATCAAATAAACAAATCTAATATGGAAAATATACGTTAGTCGTTTCACACATAGATGAACAATAATTTTCGTGTGAATGATGTTCACTAGAAATCAATAGTCTGTTTTCAAATTAATTTTTATTAGAAATGAGTAATACCTGACCCCTTTTTATTTTCTCACCCCTTATCTTCATGAGTTTTTATATAAATACCTATGACAAGTACGTATGTGATTAGATAGTTCGAAATGTGTTGCACAAATACTTTACACGGTTCAGACAATTTACGTCTTCTTATTGTTTTGTCGGAGTAATATTTAGCCTAGTTGAATAGAATATAATCATAGCTTAGTTTTTTTTATATTTTATTATATTCTAGGTTTATTCATTGGACTTTCTGATATTATCAATAATCCAAGATGTTTAATTGCTATAGTAAATGTTATTTTAATTGATTGTAATCATGACAATGATGAATTTGTATATGAATCAACATTTAACATTGGTATTATTGAATTATCAAAATTAAAAACATGGCAATGTTTAAATAATATACTTATAAATCTATTTGAATTATATTCATTTTATTTAAATTTAAATTATCCACATGATATACAAATTAATGAATTAAAACAATATTCTATACATATTGATGAATTAAATAATAAATTGAAATTAAAATTCAATGATAATACATTGAATCATACAGTTCAACTTTATAATTATACAATTGAAAATCCACAAAAATTAATTGATCTTATACAAAGTCATTGGAAACAATCAATTATTCAATTATCCATTGAACAATTTCCTTGTAATAATACAGAAACAATTGATCATTTAACAGATATTAATTTATCTAATCATCATCTAAATTATTTAGTCATGAAAACTTTATTAAATAGAGAAATTTTATGCTTTTATTTAAAACAATTTATCACATATCATTTTATAATATTTTATGGTAATGATGATATTTATATGAAAATAATTGCTAATTCACTCTGTGATCATATTCGTTATATTGGAAAGTAAGTAAAAGTTTTATATTTCATTGCAAAAAAAATAAATAAATAAATAAAAGAATAATGTAGAGAAATATTTATTTCGAGGTAGTATTCATCATAAACAAACATGAATTGGGAAAACATTGAACATCTGGAAGTAATGGACACATGTCTCGTCCTAGTATCACAATACTCAACAGTAAACACCCAACAACTCCATCAGATTCACAAATGAAAACCTTCACCTTTCACGATGAACCCATTAACTATTCAGTCATTGAGTCGATCTTCAGTGGTTCACAGTTTACATCATCATCATTATCAACATAGGACCAGACATTACTGTGTAACGGTTCGAGTTGCCACATCTCATATCAGCACATCAAGTGAAAAGGTAGTGAGGCGAAGGATGAAGATAAATGAATGCAGTCAAAAGAAATATAAAGTACGAGAAGAAAGGAAAGAGGAGTGACAAAATGCTGAGATTCGGTATAGCGTTGTTAAGATGAGGATAATGTGTGTATACATCTGCGCCACTGACTTCGGTTCTGAGCCATGTGATCACCTAGGGTCTCCAACCACTGGTTCCTCTTGTCCCGTGGACCCCAACCACCTAGTCTGCATCGTCCTACATGGCTTAAACCAACAGTCAGAGACTTCATACATTGGTGCCATGTTTTAGTCTGGCCACCTCGGGCCTTTTTCCAGCCTGGACCCACCTCAGCCAACATTGTGTGACGAGGTAATCGGTGACTAGGCATACGTAGTACATACGTAGTACAACTTCTATCAATTCACGAGATAGTGACAACTATCATCAAAGGTCTTTAGTAACCATCCACTTCACTTCCAACTGGTGTTCATCACATAAATCACCACTTCTCATTACAACTTCATGATATCCACTTGGAAGTATATCATTCATTAGTGAGTACTATATAGTAATGTATTTTCCAGATGAATGAGGATTTCTAATTTACAGATAGTATTGATTATGGACTGATGACATCACCTGTCTACTATTCCCTGATTTTCAATAGTTCCCCTAATTGATGTCAGACCATGATGAATAAATACTACCTGTAGAAATTTTATTCTCAGATTGTGAATTTCACATGAGACAAATCGATTTACGGGTGTTATCAATTAAAAATATCCCCATTCATTTCTAAAGTATTTATTTTATGAAAATAAACCATTTCAATGACTTTGAATGATCCTTAATACGATATCATCCCTAACTAATAATATTTCGATTGACAAAAAGTGTGTAGAAGATTGAAGTATACATTTTAATGATGAATAATAACATTCTCTTTTTAGATTTTTCTTTAGAGATGCCTTTTAAACGGAATTAGTGACAGTATTGGTAATCATCTGTGTTTATGTTCAAAGCTTTATTTCTCTGGAATTAGTTATAAGTCGAAGAGATCTTTTCAGCATACTTCACATCACTTCAAGATCATTTGTTGGATAGATGAAGTTTTATTTAGGAAAAAGAACCATAAGATAGTATCTAGTTGTTTCTAACCTTCTGTAGGATTTTAAAACAAGAGTATACGTTACACTTGTAAAAAAAACAAAGTCATCTTTGCAATTCAGTCAGTGTTATGCCTCAGAAGTGTGAATTATATCTAATTCTGCTTTAGCATGAATTATTGGAGTGTTAATAATTAAATGTATCACCTAAAAAAAGTGATGTGTTCTAGATCTAGCCTTTCTTCTTGAAAAAACCATTTGTTTACAGTAGTTTCTTTATTCAACATGTTCTGTACTGACACGTAAGCCCATTACACAATTCAAAATGGATTAGGACTGAAATTCCGGCTTCCTAGGTTCGAATCCTACTGAAAATAACATCATTCATTTGAAGACAGATAAATAAAGCTGACTACATACAAGTGGGACGAAATACACGTTTTTCATTAATATACTCTGAAGCCGTTGTAATTAAATCTTAACCTTGACAATAACCGATAATATAGTCTTCATTAAAATTTAATATAATTTTCAACAAGCCAGCGTCATAACCATGATTACGTTAAACGTTAGTGAAGGTCGTAGTAGTAGCTTACTTGCACTAGAGACAGACAGATAGACGAAATCAACATCGTACCTCACACACGTGCATCAATTTAAGTTCCCAGATTTTAATCATGTGACAAAGGGTGTCCAATCACTTATTCCCATCGTCTGGGAGATCCTAGCCAGTTTGTTTACACCTCCTTAGGCTAACAGTTAGGGGCTCCATATACTAGTACCATGTTTTAGTCTCGCCACCCTGGACTTTCTTTCAATCTAATCCAACTTCCCGTCACATGAAACGCCAAGACAGGCGACGGCTTGGCATGTACATGTCCTAACTATCTCAGTCGACTAAGATTCACAACCTAATCAACTGACCTGCAAAAGGGTGCAGACTTCTTGGGTGCTTTAACTTTGACTGAGCCACTGAATATCATGGTTTCGAACTGGAAATATACCAAACGTTTCCTGACAAATAGGTTCAAACGTATTGGCAAATCAACTTGAGGGTCATGCAAACTTAAAACCCTAAGGTTTGTTTGGCAGCAAGTATTATTCTGTCAGCTATGAATATATTTCCTTGAAAAAAAATTAACTTTTTCTCTCTCATATTTGGGACAAAGTAACCAAAGTAAAAGTGTATCCTGTAGGGCTTCTATATATGCGACTAACACAGCCTACTGATAAACAATTGGGGTTTATCAATATGCCAAATACCTCATGTCTATTAAATTAAAGGCAATCAGCAAAATATTGCTGTATAAATAACTTTCTAAATAAGCTGTGTGACTTTTAAGTGAAACTATGTTACTAAGTGGATAACAATTATAAATCTACATTTCTGGGAATGTTAATATTTGAAGAGTGAGAAATACTTAAACTTAGATAGATATTCATTCAGCTGGAGTATATAACTATATGGATACTTATTGATTTCTAAAATTGTTGAAGTGAATACTTATTGGTCAATAAACGTATACATATAAAATTTATTGTTAAAATAGACGTTTATCTAATGGAACATGAGATTATACAAACGAGTCAAACATATCAGTTACTTGTAATGAAAATATCGAATATAACGTGTTGTCATTTTATTGTGAAGAAGAAAAAAACTAGTGAATGGAAACAATCTAAACTCATAAACAATATGTATATACTGTAAAGTGATATTTTCTTGCTCTTTTCATAACTTTCAAACACTTTTGATATTATGATAAAGTTGAATATTCTATCTTCTCACATATGTTGCAAATTTTCGGACCATTATCAATTTGATAACACCCGTAGATCGATTTGTCTCATGTGAAATTCACAATCTGAGAATAAAATTTCTACAGGTAGTATTTATTCATCATGGTCTGACATCAATTAGGGGAACTATTGAAAATCAGGGAATAGTAGACAGGTGATGTCATCAGTCCATAATCAATACTATCTGTAAATTAGAAATCCTCATTCATCTGAAAAATACATTACTATATAGTACTCACTAATGAATGATATACTTCCAAGTGGATATCATGAAGTTGTAATGAGAAGTGGTGATTTATGTGATGAACACCAGTTGGAAGTGAAGTGGATGGTTACTAAAGACCTTTGATGATAGTTGTCACTATCTCGTGAATTGACAGAAGTTGTACTACGTATGTACTACGTATGCCTAGTCACCGATTACCTCGTCACACAATGTTGGCTGAGGTGGGTCCAGGCTGGAAAAAGGCCCGAGGTGGCCAGACTAAAACATGGCACCAATGTATGAAGTCTCTGACTGTTGGTTTAAGCCATGTAGGACGATGCAGACTAGGTGGTTGGGGTCCACGGGACAAGAGGAACCAGTGGTTGGAGACCCTAGGTGATATGGCTCAGAACCGATGTCAGTGGCGCAGATGTATACACACATTATCCTCATCCCAACAACGCTATACCGAATCTCACCATTTTGTCACTCCTCTTTCCTTTCTTCTCGTACTTTATATTTCTTTTGACTGCATTCATTTATCTTCATCCTTCGCCTCACTACCTTTTACTTGATGTGCTGATATGAGTGTGGCAACTCGGACCGTTATGCAGTAATGTCTGGTCCTATGTTGATAATGATGATGATGATGATGATGATGGATGTAAACTGTGAACCACTGAAGATCGACTCAATGACTGAATGGTTAATGGGTTCATCGTGAAACGTGAAGGTTTTCATTTGTGAATCTGATGGAGTTGTTGGGTGTTTACTGTTGAGTATTGTGATACTAGGACTAGACATGTGTCCATTACTTCCAGATGTTCAATGTTTTCCCAATTGATGTTTGTTTGTGATGAATACTACTTCTAAATGAAAATCCTTATTCATCTCTAAAATAAAATATTTATTTATAGTTAGAAGTGATTAGTCATTTTATTGAAAATCTATTTTTACAACGTCTCTTGTTGTGCCTCAGAGATAATATGGATTAAATATCTTCAGGCAGTTCAGGTGATCCTTGAGAAACATTTTGTTCATTATCTGAATAATTTTCAGTCGAACGGAATTATTTCTACTTTTCAAAAATTGATCAATAAAATCTCAAGGTGATAACGATCTGAAGGTCAACTCAGGGTCATTAAAAGTTGTTTGTAGGATTACAAAAATAAACATCAGTAAACAAAGAGATGAAAAAGTGTTTTAAGGAGAATACTACCGAGGTAAAATTAGAGATTGAGTATATGTCTTTTGAATGCAAAGAAAATTCTTGTACCGCTGAAATGTCAAAGTTTATGCTGTGTCCAGGTTTCGAATATGTACTGCCTTCGAAATGTTTGATTACCGCTTATATATAACTTTGTTAAAAATTCTCATTGAGCTAAGTGACCATAATTAACAGAATGCTCAAGAATCAAGCTATTGATGAATTTACACTGTCCTTTAGACAGTCATGCAGGATACAGAGTGGAGATACGTTTAGATAGGACATGCTTTGTGGGACATGTGTGAAACCAGCTCTTCAAGAGGATGTGAATCG